TCGAGATCAGTCTCAAGCAACAGGCTATCGACTGGATTGAGTCCGAAGGTGGTGGAATTCCATCTCGAGCGGAGCCGCACTTTCGTCAGCTCGGGTGGCGAGTGTCGGCGTCTGCCTATCACAAATGGTGGCGTGATTGGGACCAAATTCGTACGGAGTCTGTTGCTCGCTTTCGGCTTTTTGGTGGGGGGCCGCAAGCCCCTCCTAGGAGTTGTTGAAGACGAGTTGGTGGACTTGCTGTACGATAAGCGTCTACGGAAAGAGAAACTGACGCGGGAGTGGATAGCATCGACTACTATTGCACTTTTCCAGGCAAGTCGCACGGAAAAGCAGCACGAAGGCGACCCAATCCGATTCGTCGCGTCCGATCCGTGGGTGTCTAACACTTCGAAAGCGTACAAACCTCACAACACTCGGCGACGACGAGTTGGTGGAGCGAGCGGTTTCCTACATGACCTATTTGGGCGAACACAAGCCATCCATGAACCGCGACCGAACTATTCTAATGGACGAGACTGCTGTCTACTTTGAGGATGCTCGAACGCACACGGTCGACGAGGTTGGAGCACGTCACGTCGTCATTCGCTCTACTGGATTCTCTTCCATGCGGATTACTGCGGCGCTTGCAGTAACAGCATCAGGGAAGAAGCTACCGCCGTGTCTTATCTGGAAGCGAAAGACGCGGGGACCAATAGAGCGTGTTGGTGGGTGCTACGTTGCTTATCAAGAGAGAGCGTGGACCAGTACCTTCTCCTCAACTGGCTGGATTGGTACTTCCCTGAAGTAGCCAAAACGACTGGGCAGTATGTCATCTGGGACTCGATGCGGGCTTATATCGCCAAGAAAGGTCAAGCAGCGTTGCCACGAGAAGGAGATCGTCATGGTCGTGATTCCAGGAGGTTTGACGCCCTACCTCCAGGCGGGAGATGTTGGGATCTACAAGCCCTTTAAGGACAACCTGTGCAAGATCATCAATGAGTGGAAGCACTCGGACCAGGTTCGCTACACTAGAGGGGGGGGAACCCTCGTCCGCCTGAGGTCGAGTTGGTCGCAGCATGGGTAATGAAAGCGTGGCGACAGACGCCAGACTCTGTCGTCGCGAAAAGCGTTTCGATCTGTGGTTTTAGCGATGACCCTACTTCGTGGCACATTGCACGTCACGACGTGTACGGGACCAAGTTTCGAATGGCTTGGGAACTGCGTAGCCACGACGGTGCCGAAGATGACAGCGGAAGCTTTGACGACTGTGAAAGCTACGAGCACATCATGGAGACGCTGGACGACATCGTCATTGAGGATTAAACTGAAGCAAAAGATATGTTAGCGAGCTTGCAGCTAGGTTAATGACAATGCAGAAGGAGACTTACCATTTTAGCACGGAGAATTAACGTATTCGATGGGAATCGAACCCGCGACAACCCTGCTCCCAGTTGAGGCCCTCAATAAACCCAAGTGTCTTAACCACCTGTCAGTGCTGATGTCGGAATAGAGTGCGCATAAAATAGAGTGCGCAATTTCGATTTTACCGCACTCTAAAAAAATAGAGTCTCGCACTCTAAAAAAAATAGAGTCCCGCACTCTAATACGTATTATACGTTAGTTTTAAAATACTCATATAATGCCGGATTTTTAGACGACATTTCACACTAATTTTGAAGTTCACCAGTGGTCTATTTTCAAAAAAAAAAGTCTGTGCTGCTTGAGAACGTGTGTAGTGTACCTTTCACTTGTAGGTGTTAAAATCTGCTTACGTAAATTAGTCTGACCCAGACTAATTACTGTAAACACTAGGTTTATTTGCGCTTCGATTGATCTACAGTAGCAGCTGAAAATTACAATACTCTGCTGATAAATGCTGTTTACAAATGGCATTCACCTCGTGAAGTTTCTTGGTTGATCATGGCGTTTCTGTTGACAAGAATCAATGGTGACGTGCTTTTTAAAAATACATGGAGCACCCTGGTGGAAACATCGCCCTGTGTTTTGCTAGACAAGACATGTTGAACTTGGTCGGCTACTTCCTCGCAGTGGAGCTTTACAGTAATTGCTTATTGGATATAATTTACAGTAATTACAGTAATTGCTTTATTGGATATAAAAGGGAAATCTTCACTGATAATTGACAGTGCAAGTGGAACTATGGCGTTGTGAAAAATACTTTTTACAGTAACCCAAACACTTTGCACGGAGTACGAGCCTCGTTCTGCTTGTCGCCGCGCGAGCGTTCACTAACTACATGTAATGTTGAGCGCGCATGCGGAAGTACCTGTAGTATGTTGCACTGGCAACCTGATGTTTTTTTTTTCATTTACGAACAAGTATATTTTTCCAACAACTACAAAATGTCATTGAATGACTGCGATAGTCAAGATATTCACACGTGCATCGATAAACTGCATGACGAGCGGTAATACTAGCAAATCGACACCTTCGTTCTCAAGAGAATGCTTTCCAATCTTCCTCCACTAGAATCTCGCTTAATGTCTGGCGGTACCAGTCATTTGCCATGTTGTGCGAGCTCCTAGCCCAGTCAATGACCTTACGTGCAAGTTTTTCTTTGCCCGTGTTGCCATTTCGAAAGCGTGGCAACGTCTCTGAGTGCATCTCCACTACTACAGATGACAGTTGGTCCGAGCCTTCACTAGGTGATTCGGGCCGAACTCTGATCCATCCTGTCTTTTGGAGTTGGACTTCTTGACAAGTCATGTCTAGCTCTCCAAAGCCCGTGCGTCCAGCATAGACGATCGTGACGCAACCATCTTCGTCAACGTACTTGCGGCACGTGTGCTTGCCGCGGATATTGACCTGCCGGCCTAAGTGCATGGAAGAGCACGAAAATGATCGTGCCACAACGTCACTCTTCTCGGTCTACAGTAGTCACACATAAAGAAAAGCAGGTCAGTGAGGCTCACAACAGAAAATAATTGCCAGTGTTTTCGTACGTCGTTGAAAACTATTTTGTGGTTCGCTGGAGACAACGAGAACATCCTCCAGCACGCTGCAACTGCGGTCTTCGCGTTAAAAGGTAGTAGAGAGCATCCATGCGTCTCCAGCACAACCAGTGCTTCACTGTCCGTTCTCACTTGGGGCTCGCCCACTGAGATGCCCCACGTCGCAAACGACTGCACAGTTCTAGGGTCCTCCACTTGGCGCTGTTGCAACTTCAGATGTGTCTTCACGACCAACGTCAGCAAGTCGGCATATATCCCTTCCTCATCTGCCGACCCTAAGTCCCAGTAGCGAGGACCCTCGTCCTGCAACTGCATCATCGTGAGCCCAATCAACTCCTGCTCAGATAGATACGGTCAGCTTACTTCTCTGCAACAACTATTGTAAGTGTCTACCTTATCGCCTAAGGCCTTCTGAGCTTTGATCTGCAGTGCTTGCGCAGTACTTGTCTGAGTGCGAAGTATTGCTTTGAGCTGCTCGTTCTGCTTCTCGACGCGAGCTCGCTCTTTGAACTGGCGGTCAGCGATGTCTTCCCACACGGAGACAGGACCACACTTGGCACTGTGGCTGCTGCCACAGCTGAAATTGCCATTGATGAGGCCGTTTGCAGTCTGTGTACTAGCGAGTCGCCGCTTCTTGAGTTGCTCTAGGCGGTGCTCCAGTTTTCCAGCAAGTTCACGCAGGTTCTTGAGCTCCACCTGCTGCCTTCTCACGCGCTTCTTCTTAGGAGCTGGAGTGGTGTACAATATGCGAGCGTTTGGCAGATGCAGGGGCGAAGTGCTGCCCTCGGTGCTCGTGGCGTCGGGCGATAACAATCTTCCAACAGCCATCGCGCTGCCCAGCTTTGACTGCTTCAGTTGACCCGTCAAGTTTTATGGGGGTGACCATCATTCTTTCGGTTGATGTAATCACTGTTTACGGAATAACCTGCTCAAACGAATACATCACATTTTCGCAATTCGTGAGAGTGGTCATTTGATTCGGATGAGTTTCCTGATAAGTCCTAGCGACCCGGAGACGCTTGCGGAAGCGCTTGCCTTCGTGGATGGCTTCGACTTCCCCGACAACGACAGCAATACGGATGCGTCTTCAGGAAGCAGCGACAGCGGCGCTGGGACCTTTGTGGAGAGCCACAAGCGTCGTCGAAGCGATGTCAAAGTCGCGGACACACACGAGAAGACCAAGAGCAGGCGCAAGAACGCCGTGTACTCGGCACGTCTTCGTGCCAAGAAGAAGAACGAGATGCAGACGCTGAAAGAGCAGGTAGAGCAGTTGCAAATGCAGCTGGATCGTCTCAAAAGCGCGCATACCTTGCCGTCTTCAGTGTTATCAGGGGACGGTCGTATCGTGACAATGACCTCAGGAAGTTCCATAACAGACACGAGGCTTTGGCTGAAGGAGGCAACAGCTCAAGCCTATCAGAGACAACAAGCAGAGCAGCTGAATGCTCAGCTGAAGGTGCTACTAGCTAAAGTGGTCAAGCGGTCTAGGACGATGCAGGACGCGTTCCAGAACCTGCAGTCTCTGGGCTGTGAGATCAAATTGGCTGTGGGTGCGCCGTCGACAATTTTGGCGGGGTTCTCTTTGCGGAGCAATGATGCTACTTCGTATTTAGAACAGCTGCGCGAGTACGCAGACCAAATGTATGCTAGTGCCCCCGAAGTATTTGCTACCAGCGGAGCAGGAGCAGTTGAGTCTGCTTCGTTCGTTTCACAGATCAAGCGTGATCTCGTATCGGGAAGAAGATTTGTGCAGTTGTCTTCGGTGACACCATTGGCCAGCGACTTGGACACTACAAGCCGCATGATTTGGAAGGGAATGCAACTCAGGGACAACAAGTGCTCCACGTACAACGTTCATCGGCTGCATGTGAACACCAGCTCCATCGCAAAGAGTTTCTTCCTGACACTGGGAGATGATGATCCAACATTGTGCACTCTTCACGGGGCTGCCTTCGTACGTAAATTTGAGGAGCGAGATCGCATTTTGTATATCTGGACGACTGCTATGGTGCCACCAAGGCAGGAGGTGGAGGACACAAACACCAATAGCAAGTTACGGTTACTTTGTGTCCGTGAAAAGGGATGGGTCATGTTATCACGGTCTATTAAGAACCCTGAACATGAGTCACTGTTACGCACCTGTTACGAGGTCTCAAGTGAGCTGGATACGAAGCAACAAGATGCAAGCTGTGCAACAACGGAGACCGACTACAGTGACCATATCGGGAACCGTGTTATCAATTTACTAAGTAGCGAGTTGCGTGGATTCCACGAGCGCATTCAGAACAAACTACTAGCAGGCACGGCGTAGGCACACTAAGAGTCGCACCGTACTGTCGTGATGCTTGTGCGGTGCTCACGGCAATGTATCTATTTGATCTTTGCTAATATTCCAAGTGCCGCCGAGAAATGCAAATAGGAAATTTGAAGGATTTCACCTTGATGGCGCAGCAAGCTGACTTTTTTGCTCGGAGTACCGTTTGGTGGTGCTGGCTGCGAAGCCATAACTGCTAACCAAGAGTGCGTGGTACGTGGCTGACAAGATAACATCTGCGTGGCTTGATCCAGCACAGAACTGCGCATGCTCAGCGAACAGCTTCAGAGTCGTACAAGTACAAACCCATTGCCAGTAAAAGATCCTAACTAGTTAGCACGAAGTTCACGATGAACCTGACTGAAATCACAGTTACAAACGAAGTCAATATAAAGTCAACAAGATTGCTGAGTTTTGAGTGGTTGGTGGCGCCGTCTCAACGTATGACATCTCATTTGAACGACAAAGTCATCTTTCTACGGGACAAACACTCTGGTGTTCCGCAGCAGCAACACCGCACAATAATAAACCGCGTAATCGCTCAAAGTGATTCTTCATGTTGACTCCTTGAACACGGACGGGAAACTCAATGCAGTCACTCACTTTGAGATTTCCCCCCGAGCCCACATGAGTCTGCTATTTGAACCAAGTACGTCGAGCTTGCTCTCCGAACCCGAAATATATGAAGATCAGCTTTTTGCCACGGACCTCCTCTATCTCCTTGGCGAAGGGAGCTGGCCGACAGCCGAAATGCGTCAGCTTGACACCGCCCCCGTTGTCAACGAACCAACCTCGCGCGCTCTGAAACGTCTGCGTCCCCAGTGCTGTGAAGACGCTGAAGAGGAGCAGGTTATCAAGCCGAAGAGAATGCGAGCGACTCGTCCACGTCTGCGAAATAAGGGCAAGATCGAGATTTTGAGGCGTGAAATCCAAGCCCTCGAGTCGGAGCTTGAGGTTTTCCAGCGTGCCAAAGAAGACAGACTGGAGTGGCGCAACACAGAATCTCTGTGGAGGGCTATTGCTATGAAGCAAAGTCAGGAAAGAGAACGAGCAGAACAGCAAAACAAGGCGCTCAAGGCGCTGCTGACTGCACAACAAACGCTGACAACGTCGCTCTCTGGTGTGTTTAAGAGATGGCAAGACCTGCCTGTTCCAGATGCGAGCTCACTAAATATTTAGAGCTTTAGCCTAAAGCTCTAAATACTAAACGATTCCTAAAGTTTAGGACTCGTTATCATGCCGTGGCGAGAGTTATCATTACGCCTACACGTGCTTCAGTAACCTACACATCTGCATAAAATACTACGTTATTCCGACTCGAGCATTACTTTGCACACAGGCCAGCTACATGCAGCTGGCTTGTCATCTATGTGATCGTTGTTCAATAGTTATACAAATGCATGAGGCAAATCTGGGTTCCTACGCTTGCTATGATCCACCTTAACCAGAGCATAACAATTATGAGCTTACACATTGATCCGTGGATACCTTCGGCGCGACGAAGTGCTTACAGTGCAACGGACTTTACTTGAAAGCCGGAAGCGCCCGTTGAGGATTGACTTTGCAAGTATGTTTTGTGCAGCGATCATCCTCTTCAGCACTTTGTTGTCGTGTTCTGCACGTTCTCGCTGCTGTTTGTTTTTCGCTGCAATAAATTGCCACCGCGAGATGTGAGTACGCTTCACTGCTGTAGCCGCCAGTCCTCGTCCTGGACGTTGTAGATCTGCAAGCTCCACCCCAAGAGTTTGAATTTCGCGACGCAAGCGCTCGATTTTACTCCTTAATCGCAATCTCGAGCGTGGTGCTGGTAGCATCTCGCCAGCTTTCAATTTCGCGGTGCAAGTGTCCACCGTACTCGAGTCTGCACTCGAATCGCCGCAGGTGGAACTCGTGCAGCTCTCATCTTCATTATCCACGTCGAGTAGCGGGAGAATGTCTGTTGCAAAAAGTTGCTCCTCGCCTTCTCCAAATCGAAATCTCATGCTGATGTGTTGCGTCCTGCGCGCGAAAGCCGGAATGAGCCACCCGATCGTCTACAATATGCGCTTCTATACATGTAGCTTGCAGTGCACGGGTCATCAATTTGGCTGAACTTCCAATCAAGGGTTTGGAAAGCCTAGACATCAACAATACATTTTGTATGACTTTGTATGCCACGGTGTGGCCCACACGTTTACCACACCATTTAATGTAGCCACACGAAACATGTCTCATACATTCAGAATCAGTTCATTTTACGCATTTTTTCCGGCGTGATGTCCTTCGCTAGCTGCCAGACTCGCCCGAAGCGCGTGCGAGGCGAACGCCAGCGTCTACAGGACGCGCGATGGCGGCAAAGTAAGAAACAGGAGCGCCAGCAGCTGGAGGAGACAGCGCAACAACTAGAGACGCAGTTGGAGCAGCTACAGCAGAGTCAAAATCCTGTGCATTTTGATATTGGCAAAATGTCGCCCTTGTTGGCTGGAAAGACGGCAACTAGTCCACAACATAAGAAGAGGAAAAGCTATTTCCCATGCACTGCAGTCGGTAATGGCTGGCAGGCAAAGGCCGAATCCATGAAACAGCAGCGAGTCGAAGCTGAGCTGCTCAACACGACCCTCCGAAGGGCACTGGTTAAGGAGCAGAAGGTGGCCAAGTCTTTGAAGGCCATTATGAACAAGAGGCCTTACATACCGGTACACTATAATGCCATCAGCTTTAGTATGCATGCGCTACTTACACGCATAGGTTCTGACGCTTGTTGCTGTGTTGCAGCGTTCGATCATGTACGAAATGCGTCGAGCTAGTTGCTCCCAAACAGAGACCAGGACTCAAACCTTCCAGTGCTCGCAATGCTGTAATCCGACCACACTACACATTAACCCCACTGTCGTCCGGCGCGAGATCGAAGCGACGTTGCAGCGGATGCACACACAAGCCAACGCCGTTCTCAGCGCTTCTGGAGCGGACAATTCGCTTTCGTTCAACTTTAAAATTCATCTCGACCCGGGTGCTGGGCCTACAACGGAGGTGACGACGACAACCCCAATGAATTGTGGATTGGACCACGCAGTGAAGCTGCTGGGCCCAAATTGCTGTGTACAGAAGCCTGTCGATCTTCTTGGAGCACGCTGCGTCCCGGTAAGTTTGCGCACAAAGCATAATTCACAGATGAGAGATGTTATTAAGCTGTGTTGGTGTGTCTTCTTGTTGAAAAAAAGCCCCGCCGCCGTGGAAACGATGCGCACGTGCAGCAATTCACTGTCGAGCTGGGCGCTCCATACCAAACGCTGCTGCTAGACGGTTTTGGTTCGACACGGAAAAGTGACGACGGCAATCAGCGACTGATTTTGTGGGCTGCTATCTCTTTTGACAGGTGCGGAGCGCTCTGTTTCCGCGAGTGCACGTGGCTTGCTGTTCGCCGGTCGCCTTCAGATCCAGTGAACGAGTCTGTGATCCGGTCTCACTACTCGGTTGCTGCCGAAAAGGCTGCGGGCTGTACTGTCATCGACGGAGAAAGCATCGATAGTGTGCGCGATCGTGCGTTGTGCGTCTTGGGGAAGCAGATTAAAGAGCGATATTTAGCGATGCAGCGTGGAGTTCTACTTCAAACTGGGCGGGGAGACCTTGTCAGCTTTGTTGGGGCGTAAAGGATTCGGATACCGTGTTTGATGCTGCCCACGTGTTCACAAATGACGTATCTGTACAAACCAGTTGAAGGAGAATGATTGATTACGTGTTTTAAATGATTATGAACCAGAGGCAGATCGTGTCGGAGTGGTAAGTTAAAGACAACCACAAGATTGCAGCCACATCACTTGCTGCCTTGACGCCGTTGGTTGCTGATAATGTGATCGTAATACACCAGAAAAGACTGGATTTTCAAGTGGAATCATCAACACGAGCATTTTTCTCCTCAAATGTGTCGTTCGCAAGCGACTGGCAATTGACAATTGCGATGTGCTGTTGCAACTGTAACAAGGCCACACAGCGTCAAACGTTGTTTAGCGCTGTATCTGTCAACACTGCACGTACCCGCAGCTGCGTAAACACAACATACACATCTCGGTGGTCAAGTCAGGAGCACAGGCCCTCATTTATTATTGAATCATCTGAACCGCGCGCTGTTTCGGCTGGACAATGGACGGTGACAACGCGATTCCAGTGGCCATGTCGGAATTGATGGAGCTACTGGAAGACATCGAGAATTATCAACAAGACGGAGTTCCCAATACTTGGAGTGAGAGAACAGCTCAAACTGAGACTGCAGAGAGCGAAAGTGTACTCTTGAAGAATCGCATGCATACACGGCCACGTCCACGACGGAAGCGGATTCGGAAAGTTGGTTCTGTCCCGTACTCTACAGACTTACAGCGACGCAGGAGATCGGAGCTCTTGTCGTTACGGTCAGAAGCGCAGGAGTTAGAGCGCAAGCTGCTAGAGTTGCAGCAACAACCCAGCGGTGTTAAAACAAAGGTTTCTTGTCAGCCAAAGTGGCAGAATTTAGCAACGAGTGTCTGCCAGCAACGAGAGAAAGCGGAGAGCACGAACCGGGAACTGAAAAAAATCCTGTCAAACCGCTTCAGCTTCATCGCGTCGATTCAAACGTTATTACGGCGAAATGACCTACTCGAGGTATGATTTACATACGTAGATTCTGCCCATGAAGCTCATTTTACTGATGCTGGTCATTCTATAGGGAATCAAAACTTTGTCAGAGAACTCAATGCAGCTTTTAACCCAGCCTGGTACGGCCAATTCCCTGCTGAAGGAAATATCCGACAGCCTCGAGCAGATGCTTCCTCGTGCAGATTCCGTATTTCCTGCGTTGGATAGCTATATGGCTGTCGCGCTGAAAACTCACAAGAAACACCACGAGGTTCGTGGCACAATGGGCGACAACTGTGTTGAGACGATCTCAGTTACACCAATGCCATGCTCAATTGCAAAATCCGGGATGATCCTTTGGCAGCAGCTCATCAACAGAAAGGATACGGAGCCAGATAAGCTCTACCGATTCGTAAGTTATTGTGGTACATTTGCTTTCCATGCGGTCTGCACTCACCAGTTTTGTCATGACATGTCAGATCCGAGCTAGCCGCGATACCGCCCTTGAAATGAGCTTTACGTTGCCATTGAGTGATGAGACGAAAAGGTTATGGTATGTCGATGCAGTGAGTTCCTACCGCAAGTATGAAGAAGAAAATCGATTTGTTCTCGTCGGAAAAACTACTTGGAGACTTCGAGCAGGAGGACTCGAGTTTGAAACTCTTCACTGGACCGTTATTTCCCCATCTCCAACCCAGACACCTCAGTTGCAAGCATCAGTTGTTAAGAGCTGCAATCGGCTGCAAGTGACGCATTTGGACCCGTCATCCCTCCAAGCCATCGATGCGCGACACATGCTGCTCACGTCCATTGGTAGCAGACTGCGCAGATTTATGAAGACAGTGCAAGACCGTTTGTTACACTGCGCCACGGATCCCGCAAATCTCGATTAAAGTAGTATTGTCAAAACTATCCAAGAATTTAGCAGATAAGAGTATGCGCAAATTTGTTGGAAAAGAAGCTACTTCTGGGGTATTTTTTTCTACATGGAAAACACGAACGACTCAATAAATAATGTCGTAAACAAGGTTTATTGTTTCCACTCATCGCAAGATGACTAAGATATGATCTCGGAGAATCTGATCGCTGAATACCAAAAATCTGACTTCGAGATTGTCCATCGAGCTACAGCGCTAGATTATCCAGCCAACGTTGATATTCCAATCTTCTTCTACTAGCACTTGATTTATGAGCTTACCACAAACGTCCGTAATGGCATCATGAGAATTCACCACGAAATTTGTTAGTGCTCCAACTTGCAGCTCTTGGTCAGCAATATCATCTTGCAATTCCACCCTCATCCTACAATATGACCGCAGCGATGTTGACATCATGGTCTTCGAAGTATCAATGAGACCGGATTGTGCGTCTTCAGGTGAGATATTAACTCCTCGAAGGACAATCCATCCCACCTGATTACACCACAGTCCACTGAGCTTAACGCCGTTGATCTCAACAGGTTCGGTGAGTGACTTCCACACAATCATGACACTGTCGTTGTCTACATACTTGCGGTACGTCTGTTTACCTCGCACATTTGACTGAAAAGATCCCGCATTAAAATCAAGTGCATACGAACGAGCCACCAGGTTTTCGGTTGCGACTCTTTCCTCATGGAAATAGCTCATTTTTATACTCGGTCCTTCGTCCGTGAATGCTCTCCAGTAGGCCCTTTCCGTCACATGGACATCAAACGGCAACATGGAACTCGCCTTTGTCACAAACGCAACGCCTGTATCCGATTCCGAGTCACTCGTCACCCGCAAGTTGCAGAATGATGCTGTTCGATCTGCAAACTCGAGTCCGCCAAATATGTTATCCGCGTCAAGATGTGCGCGTTCCACGTGTGCCAATTGATCCGCAAAAATCTCATCGTCCGTTGGAGCCACAGCCGGCAGTTTGAAGCGCTTGTTGTCCGCCAATTCAGCCACCTCCTCGTCCCTCAGACGCTTGCGCAGCAGCCGCTCCAGCTTGGTGGCGAGTTTCAGCTGGCCCTCTAGAGATGCTCTGAGTTTCTGGTTCTTCTCCTCTGCTCGCGCTCTTTCTGTTTGCTGTCGCTCCGCAATGCCCTTCCAGATTGACGTCTCAGCATTGAAAGCGGTTGTGTGACCCGCGTCGTCACTTTGTCTAGTCTTGAGCTGCATCATCTGCTGCTCCAGCTTTCCTACCAGACCCCGAAGATACTCGAGCTCCAGTTTCTGACGTCGAATGCGCTTCTTCTTGGGCTTGGCAGGGGGTTCTACAGCGCATGGTTGTTGGGTAGGCAGTAGATGCTCGACCTTCATTCTTAAAGTGACTGTAAAACTGGCTCATTAAAAAAAAACAATTTTTGAACAGTGCTTTCTAAGAAAAATCCGTTATGTAATAGAAAGCACTTTGTTCCGAAAACGGTTTGGGGACAAAGTTTTTTTCAGAAAATCTGGCACTTTACCTAATTATTTTGGATTTTATACTTTATATAATATTTATACCCAAAACTTTCTCTCAAATTCAAAATATTAACAAAGCCGTGCTTCGCACGGATAAGCTCTGGATTTTGTGCGACTAAAACTTTGATGTCGTCATGGACGTAAGTAACATGTAGGGCCTTCAGATAACTTTATACACTCAACTTCGACTGATCGAAGTTCATGGTTCGTAGAGAAAGCACACTAATATCGAGTCTGTTAGACAGAGTTGATACTGTGAAAATGCAAAAGTGATATTTTCCTTAAGTATCTTCCTGCAAACATCTCTGGCAGCCACCTGTGCCTCTTGTCGGTGCTTTATAGTCGGCGCCCGAAGCCGTTCTCCTCGCCAGTGTCGACCGTAACCACGGTCCAAATCTGACACTCCTCCTCGTTCGTCGCACTCTCGGTAGCACTCGTCACTTTAACTGGGAGATCGCCCGCAGCCCCGCTATATTCGGTGCCGGTAGCGCTCTAAGTTAGAAGGTCCGCCATCATGAGGCGCGACTCCACGTACTCGTGACTAATTACCCCTTTCCTAGCAAAGTCGCAGATTAACTTCGCGCGGATGTTCACGTGCTTCGCGCTCGCCATGCTCTCTTCCGATCCCAATTGCATAATCGCAGCCTGATTGTCCATCTTCATGGGCACCTTCCACCACCTGGAACCCCATTCCACGCACCAACTCCCGCAGTCCCAGCAACTCAAGACCCACGTGCGACGCCGAAGTGAACTCAGCTTCCATCTTGGTGAGGGCTGAACCCGGGCTGCTTCTTACAGACTCGCTGCACGACGCCCCCATTCATGGTTATCACGCCCCCCCCTCCCAGACACGGATTTCTCGTCATTCTTGTCGTCAGCGAAGTCAGCGTCACTCCTGATCTCCAGAGCTATTTCGCCGTCGCCCCTTGTCGACGCCTGCACGGTGAGCTTCTAGCTCTTCGCGCTCTTCAGGATCCTCACGATCTTCTTCGCTAGCTTCCAGTCGGTCGTGGTCGGTTGTCGTGTCCTTCGCGTTGCCTTGCGTACTGCAAAGCTAATGTCAGGCCTCGTGCAGCGCTCGATCCAGAGCAAGCTTCACACGAGCGTCTGGAAGTTGCGGGTCGTTAGCTCACATGGAGCACCCGCGTTGGTCAACTACTGGGGTTCGTCGACCTCCGCCTCCTTAACCGGGACCCGCACGCCGTTCGCATTCACCAGCACGTACTACCCGAGCAGCTCCTCTATCGTCGATTGCCGATCCAGCGTGTAGCCCTCGCCCACGTCTAGCTCTACACGCATACCGAGAAATTTCCTCACCTCACCTAGGTTATCTACCGATAAAACACTCATCGAGCGGAAGAACTCGTCCACGAGTCCCACCTTGGACGCGGCGACTAGAAGGTCATCGACGCACACACCCACGATCATCACTGTACCGTCCTCTCGCTTGTAAAACACACATGTCGGTTACGCACCGCATGAAGCCCGCCTCCTCCAGCTTCGAGTGCAGGTGCATCGTTCACAGCCTGTCTGCTTAGCGCAAGTCGTACACCGACTTCTTCAACCGCAGCGCTAGCTTCACACCCAAGCTTGCGCATCACCTTTTAGCTGATCACCATTCTCTACGGGATCTCCAGATAGATCCCGGGATACTGCTCCTTCTCCCTTCTCGGCCTTGACGTACGCGTTGGGGATGTCACCGTGCCTTGCCAGCAACCCCCCCCCCCCCCCCATCGACGAACAAACACCAAAATGACCTTTACCGTGCTCAATTCCATTACCACCGCGAAGGTGAGATCGAAGTCAACGCCGATGATCTGCTCGTTACCGCACGCAGCGAATCTGGCCTTGAATCTCTCGATAGCTCCGTCCGCGTCGGTCTCAGTTTTGAATACCCCTTTCGTGTGCAGTATGTGGCTGCCGATCAGTGGCACCACCACGACCCCCACTCCATTCCCTCCAGCGCTCTGAGCTCCTCCGCGATGGTATCAGCCATTTTCGGCTCCTCTTCGCTTGCCTCTAATTCTTCTTGTCAGGCTCCCGGGCGCTGTTCACCACGTCCGCGGTCTGTCCCGTCTGTTGCCCACCCGTTCCTCGCGTAGCCGAGCGCGTCTAATGTCTGTCCAACGTCCACCGGTTCTTCCCGCGACGCCTAGCCATTCCCTTCGGTTGTTCCGCCTAAGTGCCCTTTTCCGAAACGTCCGTGTCCTCCGATTCCTCCGAGCCGCCGAGGTCCACGCGATTCGACTGTCCATTCTGCACATTCGACAACGCCTCGACTTTGCTTTCGTGCTGCGTCACTACGACTACACCGACGGACAGAATGCAACGGTCACTTTCCCGTTTGTGCAACAACAGGGCAATAGCAGTTGTCTCTTTTTTATGTAAGAATTAAAAACAGTTTTAGGCAAAATTAGGAGAAAACTGTATTTTGCACTAAAAGTTGGTTTTGAGAGCCTTGTTGAACGCACTTGTGACTGTGTCCGCTGTGATAGATTCCCACGCGGAAATTGCACGTTTGATCGTAGCAAGGCGTTTTTCCTTAGCTAGTGCTCTCAAATAGCCACAGAGCCTTCAACGGCCCCATGATACCAACATCAAGGGCCTGGCAGACCGAAGTTGCGTTTTTTGGTAGTGGCTGGAGCACAGCCTTAAGCTCCTCTGATACGATAGCCTCAGACTCGCACGAAACGTGGCACTCCAAATTGTCTACAAGTAGCAGAGACGACTGTGTGATATGCTGTTGCAGTAATACACGCAGATAGATTCTCCATACGCGAGTGTCCATCCACGCTTTTGTCTGAACAGTGTAGATATGTCCTAAAACGATAATGTGTTAGCCTTATAAACTTATTTTAGCAAACAATAACTTGACGCACCTTCGGGGTAAGTGGGCAGTTCCTCCTTCTCGATAATACCGTTTGGCTCACCACGTAAAATGAAAAGCAGTGGAAGCTTAACACCGTCCGCACGAATCGTACATACCGCTGTTAAGCGAGCTGAATGCTTCTGCTGGGCCGTTATAGCTGATGACTGACCTTTTTCGGACAATATTTGTCCCGGAGGTGCGTCAAAATATATGCCAGTTTCATCACAGTTATAAACTTGACTAGCAGCGTAGTTGCTGTAGTTAGCCTTGAATAACCTAGCAAAGTTATCTTGAACTTCTACTAAGTCCTCTAGTTTTTCCTAAAATGCAATACAAGATGTTAGATTCCGTGAAAACAATAGGAAAGAAAAAACTACCTTAAGGCCGTGCGGCGTACGCTGGACGAAGCCGTGCCGGTACTCGAAACACTGCAGCAGCCTTTGCAGAGACTGATACGCAGTGTATATATCCTTCATTCCTGCCGCGTAGTCTTCTAGCCACTCTGAGTGCTCGTCGCGAACATACGCGGCCATTATGGAGGCCGTGAGAGGCAGCGACTCGCGTCTCTTGTCTTTCATGAATACTATTAGCTCGA